AAAAAAAAACCCCATAACCTTAATTCTGAACCCCAAAAAAAAAAAAACCCTATAATTTCATTCTATTACACAGTAAAATGGGCTCTTTCATAGCTTTCAGGTAAAAGCTGAACCCTAAAATTAGGCAAGATCTTACTAGCAAACTAAAGAAAAAAAAAGGGGGGGAATATATGATTTCATTCGTTGCTTTGCTGTTTTGGCCGTTGTTTTCTTAGCAACCGAAGAGACCCAATTTCAAATGCAATTGAGAAGAAGAGGAAAGAATTGCTAAGGTTCGGAGGAGTTGAAATGCTTACATTTCTGCGCTGTGAGTGACAGTGGAGACCGCTTGAGCCAACTAAATTTCGAATTTTATGATTTAAAATGAACTAGGAAAAGGCCAGTGCTACTTGAAGGAGACCCATGCTACTTGTTTATGTTAGATTGTGCTTGGCTAAATTATCTAGATTATGTTAGAAAGCTGCTTTTTCCTTCAGTGAGGATAAGAGTTTGGAGCAAGCTTCGTGTGGGAAACTGTTATCCCAACTAGGTAAAGCACTACTCTTAATTCAGGTTTCCCTGTGCGTCACGGACTTAATACGATGTTAACCTGCCTTTGGGAGGAAATAAAATTCCTTGAGCGACTTGTAAGGACTCTTATCTGAACCGCAGAAAGAGGGTTGGACGACTTGGGTTTGACCATCTTCCTCTCAAAGATGAGAAGAAAATCGTTGGGCAAAAGTCCCTGGATGAACCTAAATTGTCGGAGGAAAAGGTGTTGTGGATTTTGAGTTCCGAAGTTCTTCCGATACGTCAATTGTCACGTGATCGCGTCAATTAATTAAGTCACATCTTGTAGAAACATAATGAATTTAATACTTGTCAGTATTTCCTTACAATCAAAGACTTGTTTAAGTACAAATCAACATTTAAGGCTCATTTAAGTAAAAGATGAGGAACTTAGCTGTAAAAATGATTACAAAGCACTTTCTACTATTTAAGCCAAACAAATATCAACCTGATAATAAACTCAACCACTAGTAATTAAGATTGTGATTTCATAGCCAAAACAACACATCTCTTCTAGAAAACAAACGAGCACCCAAGATTACCCTGAAAATCATCATGCAGAAAATTTTCATGCAAGCTCCCACCCAAGAACTTCCATTCCTCACAGAGGCTCCATGAACGTGATAACATCTTGTTGTCAACTCTGACAACACTAGGAGCTTTTATTTTACCCCTGAAGCGTCTCATACAATAGAAGCTGACATTTCCATAATATGCTAGATTCAGAGTTCCCTTCCACAAAACATATGGATCTCAGATTGCAACATGCTACTGGAATCCTCAGAGAAAGAGAAGGAAAACAGGACAGGTGCAGGGTCAAACAAATCTGTACAACATTTTACATCATCAAACATCATAACAGTCTTTATAAGCACAAGGCCTCAGTAAGAGGTTAGTAATTCCACTACATATGAGGTGAGAAGTTAAAATCTAAAAGTAGCATGCGAATCTGATTTTTCCATTTGTGCAACTACCCTAGAAGCTCCTTCTGCGTCAATGGAAGAAGTTAAGGAAAAGTATCTAGCCTGCTCCAACTACCATCAAGTCATGTTCTCATTGCGTTAAAAGCAATACATAAAAATGCAAGTCGTGCTTCATTTTCCAAAAATTTTGGCAGGGGCATATCATAATCACCAAAGACAAAAGTTGCGTAAATTTCAGCTCAGAACATGCCATAGAAAACTGAGGGATGACTTCTCCTTTGCTGGAATTTGGATATCAATGAAATTAGTTGAAGTGAATAACAGAGCAATATTCCATTTCTTGAATTCATTTTTCCTTTTACCATATACAGCCCCCAACTCTATTTTCAAATGTCTCCAAGAGGCAGTTCCAAGTACCATAGTTGTGTCTCTCATCATGGATGTCTTGAAACACCACCATGCAATTGTGTTGATCTCAATTGGGGCTCATCCTGCAATTTGGGCGAATAATCAAACACGCATGCATTAAGAAATGCCAATTCAAAAATATTATCTAACTTATGTTTTCCAAACTAACCTGCAAAGCATAACTGAAACTGGCTGAAGGTCGATAATCCAATTGTCCCTGCGTGAAAGAAAGCACAAGAAAATTTTGTTATCATAATCATTTTCATATAACCAAAGTTATCAACCAGAAAACGACATTACGACATTTCATACCAGCCCATGCATGCTTTGTTGAGTGCCAAAAAAACTGTCATGGCCGGGCGCTATAGAATTCAACTGTCCCTGCAAGTACAAAAATGCAATCAAAACAATAAAACAACTGTAACTGCTTATAAGTAGACATGATGGTTAACAGTTCATGTTCAGTGCTTCATTTTGGGTCAATCAAGTTAAATCATTGCTTTTCTCTAGCAATTTGAGTCATCCTGGATCAGAATTTTGACAGTTGAGACAGGTTGTTGGGATTCAGATAGACCAAGTTCAGGCTTTTAACTTCTCAAATCAATTAAGTTATTGGATTTTGTTCGGGTTTGGGAGGCCCTTTGGTTGGGTCAACTTTTGTCACCTTTCTTTGTATAACTTACCAGACCCTGCATGCTCTGCTGATTAACATAATAACCATCATGAGGTGGCTCCATCAAATTTAACTGTACCTGCAATTACCCCAGTTTAAAATATCAGTGCTAAAAATCACATAGTTTTATAAATCTTCGTACTTCAGCTTATAAAAATATATTCATATTAGTAAATATACCAGTCCTTGCACATTCTGTTGAGCACCATAATAACCATTAAGACTTATTCCATCTGAGCTCAGGTTCTCCTACACAAATAAAAGCCAAATTAACTAGATAATCCACATCAAACTGCAAGAAGAGGTAGATGCAGAAACATTTTCAATATTTTGTTTTAAATAAAATTTTCAATAGTTAAACCATTACAACTACCACTTAAAAGCACTGTCCATAAGTTATAGCACTATTTTTTGTCAACAAAAGAAGAAAAAAGGATGAGTACCTGATGCAGTCAACAACACGCAATAAAATAATATTAAAATCATCATCCCTAGAGTCTAACCATGTTATAGAACATTGACAATAAATCACAACTAGAATTAAGCTAGGACAAACCATTTGCTGCAAGCTGTCTTGGGTATCAACAAACATGAGAGCTGGCTCTGATTGCCCCTGAAACATAAAAGTCTCTTTCTTGAATGATTGCATGTTTAGCTTGAGATAAGTAGCAAGAGTAACATCATTAGAACGTAGACACATCAATCAACTTTCCAGTTTCAGAACTAACCTTTCGTTTCTTGTTTGTAGTCTTTTTCTTACTTGATTTTGAAGCAAGAGTCCCCTGATTTTCTTCTACTGTTTCACGAAGACCATGAGCCTGGCCAATAGATTCGACAGCACTGATACAAGAGTTGTTAATGTTGACACAACTTTTCAAAGCTTCTACTAGTGCACGAAAAGCGATGTTATGACTCTCTTCAGACAATGATCCTTCCTCACTCAATTCAATTGCTTGTTTGCACAAATCATTATAACGTTGCACCCTTGTCTGCACTCGGTCTGTTCCTTCAGCTGTTGATTGCCCACTCTTAGCATCCTTAGTCCACCTCTTCAATATATAACAAGGAGGGATGCTTGTGCGACCACACATTTGGAGAACAATCATTGCATGTCGACAAAGGAAACCTCTGTATTCAAACATACGACAGCTACAAGAAACCTCTGACTTTTCTTCATTCCATATTACCATAAAATTTTCATCCTTTTCACAGTCTTGAACTCTAAATTTTATAGTTCCTTCATCTTCATTTTCCCTTTTGGGATGGCAGCCAACTACACCCAAGACCTCAACTTGGAACTTTTTGAATATTGCATGAGTATAAACAATTGACATTTGTTTTTCCCAAGGTGAAGGAGATTTTAGCGCTGGCTGTTTCTGCCAGGTATCAAAATCAGCTACAGCTTCCTCTTCATATCTATTTTGCAGAATTGCCCCATACTGTTTCACAAACTCTTTCAAGGTAATTTTCTTATGGATGTATTTATCAAAGAAGGAGTTCATACTTTCAGAGCGCTGACTTGTAGACATTCCAGCAAGAAACACATCATCCATGAAAGTAGGCACCCATCTTTTGCGGTCTTCATACAATGATTGAACCCACTCATCATCTTGGAGTTCAAATCGAGTTATCATTTTCCACCACCGCATATCAAACCCTTCATCGGTCCAAGACTTGAAAATGCACTTATTGAATTTAGGCAAAAAGTTTTCATGTGGTCCAATCACATGTGCAAGAGATTTGGGGATCTTTTCTAAAATATGCCAAAGAGCAAAGCAATGGCGTGCAGTTGGGAAGACCTCTTCAACTGCAGCCTTCAATGCTTTGTCTTGGTCAGTAATTATAACTTTGGGAGCTTGTCCACCCATTGCTCTAAGCCATGTCTTCATTAGCCAAACAAATGTGGGCTTAGTTTCATCTGCAAGCAATGCACAGCCGAGTAACATAGATTGAAAGTGATGGTTAACCCCAACAAATGGTGCAAATGGTAATTTCTCATTGAATTTCACATAAGTGGTATCAAAAGAGACCACATCACTGAAACTTGCATAGTCATTCCTACTTTTAGCATCAACCCAGAACAAATTTCTCAAGCATTGCTCCTCATTTAAATCGATTGCGTAGAAGAAGTCTGGGTTCTCCTTCTTGATACGCTTAAAATATTCAAGCATAATTTGCGCATCTCCCTCATCCACAGCCAAGTGCCTACCTTTATCAAACTGATTTTTCATGTCATTCTGAAGGAAGCTTACATTTTGATATCCACCAGACTGTCTGGTCATCTCAACATACATCTTTCTTGTCCGTTCACTAACAGCATTCAGAATGTCAATATTATTCTTTTCAGCCAATTTTACATTCCTATATATTCGAAAATGGTAAGCAAGGGCTGGTAAAAGCTCATGATTATGCTCCTTGACAAATTCATGAATAATCCACTTCCCATCCGGCCTTCTTTTCACATGCATGCTGGCTTTGCAGTCTGTCTTTTTCACACTTGATCTTCTACTGCTACCAACATCTGATTCAGGTGTGACTCCATATCTGGAACATGCAAATTTAGCATCAATAAATTCTTTTGATTTCTTGGAACGCCTACTGTTTTTAATGGACGTAGTAAATCCCATTGACTTGGCATATTCCTGATAAAACGCATATGCTGCCTCGTGTGACTCAAATTCAATGCCATTACGCGGCTCAAAATCTGTATCCCCTTCAAATCCAATAACAGCCCTTTTAGAGGAATCAACTATCACGCCATCTCGACCATGTGCCGCTTCATCCACACTATCAACCATATTTTCATTCACTCCATCATTACAAGGTACAGCGTCTCTACAATCCACCATATTACTAATTGCATTTTGGTTTTCCCGAACCTTTATCATGATCACCAAATGGTAGCTTCCTCTCTATTTCCATGAGCGGGAAAAATCCACCTTTCCAACAGATCATCTACAGTGTACCTAGTAAGCACCCATAAAAAGGATAACTTTTACAAATGGTATAGCACGCGGCTCAGTTCAATTATTTGCCAGTAACTAAATTACCCTGAATTATGACCCTATCACGACGAATTTAGGTTAATTTGGTTCGATTAGCATGCTTCAATTTTATTAGTGCTTGGCAAAAGGAAAGAAGAAAGGAACAAATTTATCAAAAGCAAGTCAGCAAGCTCATCAAATATAAACCTTTCTAACGAAAAAAAAAAAAAGCATTCAAAAGATAAAAAAATCGCAAAACACTCAGCAATGGTTATGCAAAATGACCCATGTCCCTAACAATAAATTGATTTAAGTGCAAATTTGTCATAAATTCAGACACGGCAACATGAAATGCTGATGAGTTAAATACCCATACTTAAAATGCTTACAATTCAGAAAAAAAAAAAGCAAAGACATTTTACAAAAAAATTGTAAAAAACAACAAGAAAGCCATATACCAGAAGGGACGTTGAAGGACGGGGAAGCAAGGTGCTGAAGGATCAAGGAAAGATCAAGGATACATGACCCGTTTAAGATTGCCCTGTATTTTGCGAATACCAGAATAAAAGAACTCGGATAAAGAATTGATGGCTGACGGAGGACTGTTGGCAGAGGCGTGAATGAAGTTAGAAGAGAGCGCAGAGCGGAAATGAGCCAGCGCAGAGTTGGGGAAGTTTCTAGGGATTTGAAGTTTGGGAACTTTGAAAATTCGGGTTTAAAATAACATATAAAACTAGAAAATACCCGTGCTAAAAATTGTGATAATATCATTTATTTCTTAAATATTTGATCAATATGTGTTTGTAAAATTTTATTAACATTTAATATTCAAATTTTTGAATAGTATTATTATATATAGTAGTAACAAATTAAATATATCATATATGCATTTTTAATTTATCTTACTATATATTTTTTTAAAAGTTTCATCGTATTAATTACACTTTTATATATATACAAAGATAACTTGTCATAAAAATATAGAAAAAAGTTACTCTATATCTAGTGGTAAACAATATGCTGTCCAAAAAAATAGAGTTGATTTTGATCTGTACAAAATATTTAAAATAAGTTGGATCAAATTTTTGAAAAACATTGTATAGGCAAAAAATGTATTTTTTAAAAGTTTTATAAAAATATCATTTTCATTAAAAATAATTCAAAAAATTGTTCATTCAAAACAATTCTAATTAACTACTTTTTTAATTTTCTTTTTCTTCTTATATTATTGGACTTTTTATTTTTGTTCTTATTATTTTTAAAATTAAAAGTTAACAAAGAAAATAAACCATTCTTTTTCTTCACAAATCACAACAAAATTCACCTTAATTATTCTTTTAATCTCAATCTTTGGAATTTGATAATATAAAACCAAAATTTCTCCTACTTTCTCACTATCCAACAAACTTTTAACTCCAAATTCTTCTAATTTATGTTATCTTCATCCCTCTCTCACCTTTTTAAAAAACCATTTTACTGAAAGTTTAAGAAACTTTGCTTACTCCTTACTTAACACCTAATCTACCTTCCTTATGTTGTCATGCTTCAAATTGGATGGGTTCAAATTTCAAACTATAAAAGCGATGATTACATAATTTTAACTGTCGATTTCATGCTTAATATATTCTTAATAGAAGCACCTCGGTCTCTTACTTTGGACATTTTAATAATGATATTTAAATGTATAACCACCTAAAATATTGATTAAAAAATGATTAAAAAAAACTAAAAATATCTTTTAATTTATTTAAAATTTTATGAAGTCTCTAACCATAAAACCCCGATTCAATATATTAATTAAGTCCACAACCCACTCAATAGAGGTGGACAAGTGTCATCCATAAAGGGCTTTTGTAAGTAAGAATCAATATACTTTAAATAATTAAGAAAATTCAAAAATTTAAATTTCTTTACATAAATTTTTGTGATAAGGAAAGTAGATAGTTTTTTTTTAACTACATGTAAAAGAAAAATTAATTAAAAAAACATATAAACCACCTCTTATATTTATTATTAATTAAATTATTTATTTTTATATAAATTTATCAATTTTATATATATCAACCAAGTCGTCATCATAAAAATAATTTAAATTGTAAATGTGAAAAAAAAAGCATGCTTAAAGACATAACATAATTGAAATACCTTAGACATTTTAATAATGAAATTTAGGTCTATAATCACCTAAAATACAGATACAATAAGATAAAAGGACTAAAATATTTTTTAATTTATTTAAAATTTTATGAAGTCCTTAACCATAATATCCCGATTCAATAGAAGTGGATAAGTGTCATCCATAAAAGGCTTTGGTAGGTGAGAATCAATATATTTTAGATCAGAAAAGAGAGAGATAGTTGGACTATGAATGGTGTTAAAGTGTAGTAATAGGAGTAATAAATTTAGGAATATTTATTCTTATGATATGATTAATTAGATAATAAAAACTTTTAATATTTCTAGTAATTTATATTAATATTAAAGATAAAAAAAGAAAAAAGAGTAATAATATAAGAAAAATGTTTCATACTGGCAATTAATAATGAACTCAAAACTTTCACGAGATTCGTTTTTTTAAAAATTATATTAATATTAAATATTAAAATATTTTTATTTTAATATTTTCAATATTTTAAATTAAAATTAAAAATAATGAATTAATATAATAATATTCCAAACTAGACTGATCTCTGGAGAGCTCTACTATTGTCAGTAAATTAAAAAAAATTAATTACAATTTTTTTTTTTTTATAAATAGCAGACGATATTCTAACATTTTCTTAAAGTTATTCAAAACTTAGTTTTTGAGAAAATGGTGGAAGCCGGGTGGGTACGCGCGAGGGTCAGACCCACAGGCACAGCCCTCAACTACCCTCAATCTGATGAAGCCAAACCAGTGTGGTAGGTGAGATGAAGGGAAGCTGAAACACATACCATAAAAGAAGTAGAAGTACTTCCCTCAATCAATTAGTTACACATTACCAACCACTCTTAAGCCTTTTTGCTTCTCTGATCGATCCTCGTGTACATAAACACAACCACCTTCACCTTTCCATTCCCTCCTCCTTCACTTCACTTCTCTTCTTCTTGGCTCTTCCGTAACTTTCGCTCTCCGTTTGGCTCATTTCTCGCTTTTTCTTGATCAACTTGCTCCATACAAAGTTTGCAGTTTCGAGTGGAATAATCAGTTTTCCAACAATTCCAATGGCAAAGGAAGTTGTTGTCCCTGATGAACCGGTAATCACCCTTTTCATGATTCAATTTTACGAGTATTTCCTTGCTTTTTTTTTTGAAGATTTTAAAACTAATTCCTATGTTTTCCATATTTGTTTAAGAGAATGCCTCTAATTTACTAACCGAGAAATAATTTTTGTTGCTTAGTTTGTTATCGGAGAAGAAGTAGACCATGTACGATTGATCACTTTGAACAGGCCTCGACATTTGAACGTCATCTCATCCAAAGTGGTATGTGATGTTGAACTATCAAAATGAAATTAGAAGAAAACAAAGTGGTTTGTTGTGTGAATTCAAGCTACGTTGCCGTATTACTTAAGTTCAGTTCTTGAAGTTATATCTTCTAAAAATCATTTTTCTTTTACTGCAATCAGGTTTCATTGCTAGCAGAATACTTAGAAAAATGGGAGAAAGATGAGCAAGCAGCGCTTATACTAATCAAGGTTATTTCTGATGTTCCTGAAGATTTTCCTAATTCTGGATTTGTCAGTCAATGTGTCTCTTGATTGCTTAGATTCTTTACAACTTATTATTTTTCTTTTTATTCAGGGAGCTGGGCGTGCTTTTTCTGCTGGTGGGGATTTAAAAATGTTTTATGATGGCAGGAAATCAAGTAAATGTTCTGCCTGATATTGGACTTTTGTTTATATTCTATTATGTTTTAAATTCTATCACTTCCACCACAACACCTAAACATCACCATGATTAGATGCATGGAAAGCAATATGATCTTTGACTTGGAATGAATTATTTTTCTGACAGAGGATTCTTGCCTCGAAGTGGTCTATCGAATGTATTGGCTTTGCTATCATATTCATACCTACAAAAAAACCCAGGTTTTCTTTTTTCACACTGTATTCTCACACTATTGCGCAAGGAATTTAATGACTGTGAGATCTGCATCACTGTGAAATGTAACAGTCTACTGTTTATGTGTTCGACAGGTTGCTCTTGTTCAAGGAATTTCAATGGGAGGAGGTGCATCATTGATGGTCCCAATGAAGTTCTCAGTTGTAACAGAAAAAACTGTGGGTATCTAGTCGCTGTCCAGATATTTTCTTGCATAAGTCAATGCATTCAACTTTTCTTTTTAATTCTTCTAAGAGCAGTGGTTTATAAAGGCCTTGATATGTGTTACAGCATTGACATGCTGAATCTTTTTTCTGGTGTGCTTTCCGAAAATTTGTATTTAAGGTCTTTGCAACACCAGAAGCAAGTATTGGTTTTCACGTGGACTGTGGTTTCTCATACATGCTTTCCCATCTCCCTGGGCATTTGGGTAAGCACACTAAGCTAAAAGATATGGACATATTGAAATCGGAAAGAATAATGTGTTTGAACTTTGATGTTTCTTCTTCTTCTGAAAAAGAGAAGTATTTGACATGTTGTAGAATTGCAGTTCCTGATCTCCTCATGGAGGAATCTTTAATATATTGTTTATGGAAAATAAGAAGTTTGTTGTTGTTTCTTTCGGTATTCAATCAAGATTATGTTGTCATTCATGCAGGGGAATTCTTAGCCTTAACAGGTGCTAGGCTAAATGGTAAGGAACTGGTTGCAGCTGGACTAGCAACCCATTTTGTCCCTCTTGAGGTGAGTGTAAATAACATTCAGTTATAATGCCTTTTTCTCTGCAAACATGTTTTGGAACAAGTGTATAAGATGTTCACTTTTTCAATATTAATGTGAGCATATGGTATTTTAAATATGGTTGTTGGTTTCTACCGTTATAAAAATAGCAATAAGGTTCCTCATGTTCTAATTAGTATGAACATATTTTCCTGTTCACTGAATCCATGTCTATTTAGCTGAGATATGATGTATAATAGAAAAATTGTTTACTTGAGCTATGTAGACATACCAGTACCTTAATCGAATAGATTATCATACTTTTACACTGGAATGGGGTGCTTTCTATGAGTCAACAATTGTTTCTTACTGCTTCAGTGATTCGGGGAGGACAGAGTTAGGAAAAATATGCAATTCACTATGTGTAAAACTATTCTTGCTTAGATTGTTTCAGGGAAACATAGAATGGACTATTTTGTTTATCACTATGTTATGCAATAGCTATGAGATTGGTTGTGCATGGAAACAATTATGAATGAAGTGCTTCTGCTCCTGTCAAATTAACAACCCTATCAAATCTGAACCCAAGCTTGTTTCAAGGAATTTGATTTCACCCTCGAATCTTATCCCAATGATCACATGCTATCCGTTATTATCATATTTTGATCCTTTTTCTTTTGGCCCTGCTGCTGGCGCTAGCTTTGCTTTGATAATTAGCCTACCATTTCTCTTTCTATCCAGTTTTATTTGTTTTATTAGCATAACATTCACTTTTGGAACAAGTTTTGTAAAGTAGTATTACTATTAGGATGATTGAATGTTGAGGGTTCACTTCAAACAACAGAAAAAACATCCATTTTCTTCCAATTGCTAGAAGTATCATACATATTTTAGTTTATAGGAAGAGGCTAGGGAGGCTGATCCCACCTTTGGTCTGATGTAATTTTAATCAGAATATGAAATCAGCCAAGCATGCTGAAATTAGTATAGCTTGACTATTTAGGATACATGAAAAGAACAATAATCTAATAACAAATTCATTATCAAACACTATGTTTCGTTGGTGAACTTCATTTTCTCTCTCTATTATACCTTAAACACCTCATTTATTTCAGTCCATGAAAGATTTGATTATAATTTAGTTTTTCATCTTCTACGATTGTATGTCTATGGTCTGAAATTACTGAGGTTTTCTAAGTTCTAAGTGTAACGATGCAATTTGATGCTTTTAAATCATGAATTTGTTTATATATTTTTTCTTACATTTGAGTAAATGTTGAACAATAACATCTTGTTCTCTTTTGTAATCAGAAACTACCTGAGCTAGAGGAGCATCTGATTAGCTTGAACTCCGGTGACGAGAAAGCAGTAAAATCTACAATTGAGGAATTTTCTTTGAACATCCAGCTTGATGAAGACAGTGTTTTAAACAAGTAATAAATATGTGTCATCTAGAATATGAATTAGGATAGGACTAGAGACCTCGGTATCAGTGAAACCTGATAGTTTAATTACTTTTCAGGAAGCCAATAATTGATGAGTGTTTCTCAAAGGATACTGTTGCAGACATTATAAAATCATTTGTAAGTTGTTCTTCTTTCTTTCTTTAATCCCTCATTAAGAAAAAAATATTATAGTTTAAATTGGATAAATACCTCATAATATTCTATAGCCCTTCCTATTTAATTAACAGAAAAAACTTGGTTTAAAATGTACTCTGACAGGAAGCTGAGGCTAACAAAGAGGGCAATGGATGGATTGGTCCTTTACTGAAAGGGTTGAAAAGATCATCACCAACAGGATTGAAAATAACATTGAGATCGGTAATGGTTTTTTTTATTGCGCCATTCATTCTTATGTTTCACAGGTTTGCGGGACTTTGGTGTATATTTATAAGCGGTGATAGAGATTTAAATTAAACTTTTGCAAAGGATTGACGCTTGTGCTTCTAGTGTCAAGAACTCAAAATAAATTCATTCTATGCTTTGAGACTGACATTATGTTTATCACTTTTCTACGAACAATATGGTATCTAATCTTGACTTCAAATAAAAGCATCTACCTTTTATATTTAAATTGATGCATTGTCTATTTTCTTAATTTTGAAAATGACGTCAGTGGTTTACTTCATCAAAATTGTTCTGATGTCTATACACAATACTATTTTATGTTGTCTTTTTCAAGTGGTAGAACACTAGGTACAATCCTTCTAGAATTTTTTGAAGCCTGGTTTTTTAGCTTTACTAGGTAACATTTAACCAATATGTTGCAATATTTATGTTAGAAAGAAGGTGCCTTACACAACTCTTTTATTAAAACTACAGGTTACAATGCTGTATGAAGAGTCCCCCCCTTTTTTTTCAACTTTCCTTAGTTTTTCCCATATGCATCAAGTAGCAAGTAGCAAATAGCAACTCACATGATAAGACATATCGCTTAACCTGTATCTCTTGCTTAGTTAACTACGGAATGGGTATCAACTTAACAAAAAAAAAATAGTTAACTTATTTTTGCCCCAAGTACTTGGTAATTACTGGATCTTTATGCAAATCTCACAATTAATTTGTTGGGTTAATATTTCCAGATTCGTGAAGGGAGGAAGCAAACACTCCCTGAATGTCTGAAGAAAGAATTTCGACTAACAATGAATATTTTACGGACTACAATATCTGCAGATGTCTATGAGGTAATTGTTATGAGTTTAACCACTTATGAAAACTTTTAACAGACAAAATCCAAATTTTGAGGTTCCTTCTAACTTCTGACTGGATTTTCTTCTTTATTGATGAAAAGGGTATCAGAGCTCTCACCATTGACAAGGATAATGCTCCGAAGGTACTCTCTCTTGACCAATGCATCCTTGTATGTATTTTTGCATGTGTTTGTCCACTTATGTCAGCCTGCAGGATGCTTGGTGTAATAGCTTGCAAGCTTTATTGGTTGCTTGTTAAAATTTTGAAGTTGGGAAGAGTTTTGTAAATCAATTTTTATCGCTGCGTGAAGTTTTCAAGCCTGATACAGTAGGTAAAAGTTTTGGGGAGTTTTTGGCATTGAGTAAGTTAATTTCTTCACTTCTGTGTCAACCAATTGCAGTGGGACCCACCAGTTCTAGATCAAGTGGATGATGAGAAGGTAGACCTAGTATATCAGCCGTTCCAAGAGGATTTGGAGCTCGAAATTCCAGAACAGGAACAGTGCAGGTAGGTGTGACTTTGGGGCCTTTAGTCCTCTAATGTCATATTAATAATAGTATCAGGAGAACTAAAGTGGCTGATCTTTTGTTTCTTTTTATCTTCTGTTCTATTATCCAAACCAAATTATAGGTGGGATGGAAAATATGAGAACTCGGCTTACGCAAATTGAAAGGATAACAGAATGATGGCTGAAGCACCATAAAGATTTATGGTCAGGAGCTGCCTTTTTCCAGAAAATTCTCCATGCAAGAAATTTTATCACTTTATCATAGTACCTTGTATTATCCATCCCCTGGTTGATTTTTGTGTTTCACTAATGAATCTTCCCTCTTTAAATAAAAGGTTATTTACCTATACTACATGTGCATGTGAATATGTTAAGTGATACTGCGATTTTAGACTCTTATGATATGTTTGTATAATGATAGGAGTTGGGATAAAGGCATATACCTGGCAAAATCATAACAAAATTGATACAAAGAGTAAGGATCATGCCTTGAATTTTAGTGATTCATTCTTGGCTTTAAACTAATATAAGGAGTTTGTTAAAAGTAAAGCATTGGTGATATTGCCAAGGATTGGTGTATCCATTAGCTTATATGCTCTTTATTTTTTATTTGGAGAAAAGAGATTTGAATTTCTCTTAAATGAGAAGATATGTGTACTTATTATAGAACAAAATACTTTTGAGAATGGCCACCTTCTTTGTGGTGAATCCAATGAAGAACTAATTAATTTTGTAATTGGATGAGTATATTCTAATAGTAATGAATTAAATTAATATCATAAATTTCAATTATATATAATTGAAATATTAATTGTCTTTTATATTATTTGTTATTCTTTATTATTCTATTTTTTGCCTTTTATTTGTTACAATTTTTTTTTTAAAAAAAGTAAAAATATTAAGCGAACAGAACCAAAGGAAGAGAGCTAAATTTTAAGCAATCCAACATGTGTAATAAGTAGAGCTAGCTAAGCAGATGCTCTCTCTCTCTCCCTTTGTTGCCCTGTGTCCCCACTTTACTTTATATATAGTTGGTGTCCCATTCAGCGGGTAGCCCTCACCCTTCTACCTTTTCGTTCTTTCTTTCTTCTTTAAAAGACAAAATAGCTTCATTGTAGACAAATCATATAGTCTTGACATAGTAATATAATGAGTCAAATAACAAAAAAAAATAAAAATAAAAAACATTCACCCAACTAATACAAGTTTATCAATAAAGCAAATATAGATAAAGACATTTAATTCAATGATTAATTTATGTATAATAATAATAATAATGAGATTAAAACTTTGTTAGAGAAGGTGCTATGAAGGACCTTACATCATATAATGTGAGGGTTAACTTAAAATGGCCATAAAAAGAGGCAGAGGCAAGGGATGAGAGTTGCAACGACCAAAGTTAGTAGAACCCAAAAGCAAAAGGAAGAATAAATGGTGGGATCCACCATAACTACACCCAACATTAAATTAAACAAAATTTATTCCTTTTTCTTTTTAAATTTCTTCCCCAACACACCTAATACAGCACATGCTCACCTTTTTTCTTTCGTAACACTATCATAGCCGTTTGAAATTGAGATACAGCCAAGTGTTGATAGTAAAAGCTTGTAGGATTTCGTTACATCACATCACAAATGTACAACCTTTTCTTTTTTATTATTTTCCTAAATTTTATATTACTTTTTTATTTTAAAAAAGTAATAATAATTTATTTGGATTAAGAAATAAAAAGAAAAAAATGTTTCTTCTTTTTCATTTGTGTTTGAAAAAAGGAAAATAATATATAAGCTTTTTGGATATTATTATAGGTCGACGCGACACAGCGCCTCAACTCACCCCACGCGCACTGCACAGGCGCAGTGTACGCTTCTCTGTCAACGATTTTCTCTTTTGTCAATTTCTGTTTTTATTCTTTTTTTTGTCAAAACAGGTTTTCGCATTCTCTCTTCCCTTTCTTCACTCTGCCTTCCCTGTAAGGCTGGGCTCTTTCTATTTTTTTTTTTTTGCTTCCTTCCTTAGCTTTATTGCTTTCCATTTCCTATTCTTATACTAAATACTACCTATGGCTTCTTGCTAACAAATTACTAACATTCTCTCCCTTTTTTTTTTTTAATTTTCCCATTCTTTTCTTTTTTGGGTTCTTAATTTTTTACTTCGTTGCTAAGAGGTGAGCTCGCTCTCTTTCTCTTTCTGTCTCTCCCAAAACTGTTTTTTTCCTTACTTTAATGAGAGTCTCTCTATAGGGTCTCTTTCTTTTTTGGTTAGGGTTTTGGGTTCTCAGTGTAGTGGGGGAGGGGTCTGAATCTTCTGAGGGGTAGTTATGGTGAGGAAACATGGATGGCAACTACCTGCTCACACCTTTCAGGTAATGAAACCTTTTTTGCTTATGCATGTTATCCCGCAAAATGCTTCAAAGTTTTATTTTATCCTTAATTTTCTATCTGTCTTTGTTTCTTTTGTTCTTCGGTGTTTACTGCTTGATTTTATGTGAATTGCCCCCAACTTAATTTTTTCCTCCAATTTAGGGGCAACATTTGTTGCTAAAAATATTTGTTTATTTTTTTATTTTGTCCCTTGTGTTTTAGATTGTTGAAATAGCACTGCACTTCTTCAACTTGTTTGGTTAGCATGGCTCATTGTATGTTTTCTGGTATTTTTCTGTCTTTGCTCTGTGTAGTTTTTAACTCATGGATCGATGCTGCGGGGGTTTGATTTTTATGAATTAATTCTGGGTTCAGGTAATCGCTAGGGTAGCATTGGATTTTAGTTATGTTCAGTTTTGTAACTGTATGGATGAGGGAAAACTAAAATTACTCTCCTTAAATATTCACATGGAAAGATGCTGGATTCAACAATTCTGACTTGTTCTTTAGAATTGCTTGTTGTCTTGCATTTGAAAATCATGCTTAAGAAAAGGGGGAAGAAGGAGAGAAAGCTCTATCCAACACCCTGAGCATGATTGGTGGGCTATCTCCTTTATAAAGTGTTGATCTCTGTGAGGTTCTTCAGAAGGTTTCCTTGCCTTTCTACAATGGCTTACTGTGAACATGTTCTTTAAGTCAAATCTAGAACGATGATATGAGGTTCTTCAACCAGTCCTGGTTTCTGCCAGCTTCTTTAGAACTTGTAAATAGCCCTGTCTCTACATGTTCCTTGAAGAAGGCTCTGATTTGGACACACTTTAATAGCGTTATCCAACCACCCAAAGGTTAGTGAAAGAAGAAGATGAACCATGCACATGTTAGGTAAACCAAGGGTCATTGTTCAAGAGGTTGAGAGGTAGACATGTTTCTCAGTTTAAAGTAGGTGACTGTTGGAGGGGGCCTTCATGAGTGTATAACATCCTTGGGGTAGCCAACAACGCGTCTGGTCCTTATCCACAGGTCTGACCGGTGAGGTACTTGATGACTAACATGCTTCTAGGCTGAATTCATTCATTTGGGTTGTCAACTATGTGTCTGATTAACAACTCTAGCTGAAGGCTCAAGCCCAGATTTCAAAGATTTTCTTTCTTTTTCCCTCCTTTTAAGAGAATAAGTCAAGTACAAATTCCACCTATAGAAGCTGGAAACAGTAAAATACTTGAAAATTTTTCTTCAGTGCTATCGATGTTAGTTGTGAGATAATTATTGCCTTGCAGTCCCATGTTAATGGCACCTCATATTGACATGTTAATTCTCACTTTTTTGCTTTTCAAATGGGCTATCTGTTCAATGTCGTATCCTTTAGTTGAATTTAGTGACCTCTATTTTTGAGTACTTATGAATCATCCAATTTTTTTGCAGTTGATCTTAACTTCTTGTTTTGATAGGTTGTTGCTATTACTGTGTTCTGCTTGTTAGTGGTTGCGTTTTATGCTTTCTTTGCTCCTTTCCTTGGAGGGCGCATCTGGGAATATGCTCTGGTTGCGACTTACTCACTGGTGGTACGTGAATTTGTTTCTTTTCTTTACATTAGGTCTACAAGAAATCATTTATTGCCTCATATGTTTGCATGAAAGATCTAAATGGATTGCACATTTAGAACATTTTTAAGGGCCTGCTACTATATCACAATGGAGGATGAATTGCACCAATGTTTTTTTTTATCTATTTTAATATATAATTTATTCTCTGCGATGAAGACTATATGGTGCTTGCCCTGTCTGCAAATATTTTTGGCGAAAAAGAAATTGATTTCAGTTTTCATTCTCCATGAAGCAGTTTACAAACATAATCTTTGAGTCTGATGTCAACTCCATTATTCTTGTGATGGCAATGCAGGCACTCCTTGTTTTTATTCTCTATGTTCGGTGTACTGCAATTAACCCTGCTGATCCTGGCATCATGTCAAAATTCAGCGGTGGAACAAACAAACTTGATATAAAGCATGGGTTATCAGTGAAGGATTTACCCAGAAAATTTGATGAATTTGGTAGTGGGATGCATTCATCCCCGTCAACAGTTTCCAGAAGTTCCATAGCAGCACCAAACTCAAGTAAGAAAGGTTCAGTGGGGGATGCTGCAACAATAGATGTTCCAGCACAGTCTGCAACCAGGAAGTATTGTTGTATTGGAGGAATCTTTTGTGCCTTATTTGTTCATGAAGATTGTCGTAAACAGGATGGGGCTGCTGAGCAAGGCAGTGAAGATGCTTTGTTCTGCACCTTGTGCAATGCTGAGGTACTTTGGATCCCATTTTGACTTACCCTTTTTATTATATTAGATCAGCTCTAATTTTCCATCATTTTTACTAATGTTAACTGTCCATAGTGTCCTTAACCTTCTTTTCCCCCCAATAAATTTGGAAACTTGCTTTTCTCTTGTTCTTAATGCAATTGTGGAGTAGGGCAAGTTTTAAATCTAATGAAAGCTCGAAAGCTGGTACTGATGAAATTAATAGTTGTGTCCATTTAGGCGGCACAATTGGATGTGTGCTAAGCCTACATCAATTCAAGGGAAATAAAGAAAAAAGAAAAATTCATTTTGGTGTCAAGATTGTGAAAGTCCTATTCTTGAAAGAACTTGAAAGGTCAATTTCTAAACCTATGGTAGTTAACAAGATAAGATTTTTTCAAAACATTTTTTGTATCCTCCATTTTCTTGGTTCGGCAGCACTCCATTCTTTGCAATACACCTTGAATCACTATTCACATTGTGGTCCATAATTTATGGTTGGATCCTACACATATGAATGGTGATGATGGCTGTATTAAAAAGTACTGGACTAAAAAGTAATAGAGGGTATCTCAATCCCTGTTTACTACCAGATAAAGCTGTAAAACCTTGATAGCATTTAATTCTAGCTCTCAAATATCTTTAATTGTAGCTGTACAAGTCATAACTTAAATTATAAAAAAAAAAAACCTCTTAAGAATTTTTTTTTTGAAATTCTAATATTTTCTCCCACATCAAATTTTCTCAGCTTGGTAACATTCTTGAGTCAGGATCTATGTTGTTATGATCAAACAAGGGGAAAAAAAAACTACGTTTCATTAGTATGTTAATTGTTAGTTTTGTTAAACCTTATTAAAATATCCTTCCCCATCAGTTCATGCTGAATCAGTTGCATTTGTGATAGATGATGTGTATTTTGTCTAGCCAGCAGCACCACTATGCTCTATATGTTTTCTCCACTAGTCCCGGAATTTTCAGATCACATGCTTAGTCGCCAATCTTATCTACCACTACAATTTCACAGTGACTTCAGAGGCTATAAGGCGATTGGTTATGATCTCCTCTCACAATGCTACTGCCATATGAATTGTAAGGCCACCAACAAGTAAAGCAGACTGCAGAAAATTTAAAAGCTTGAACCAAATTAATAACATCTCAACAAATGAAACCAAAATAATATATGGGAACATATTGGGCTTTCTGGAGACTCAACTTTTGTTCTTTTACATTGATTACAATCTCGTAGTGGTTTTCTGTTATACTAGTAATTCTTTTAACTGGGATAAACGTTTTTTATGTGATCTAGTGTTAAAGGGATCACTTGAATATTATATCCAAAAAATTTTTGCTGATCAGGATTTGACGGGTTGGCAATATTTTAGCATGGCATTCTGTCTCACTTATGACTGATTTTTGTGGTGCAGGTGCGCAAGTTTAGTAAGCATTGTAGAAGTTGTGATAAATGTGTAGATGGTTTTGATCATCACTGCCGGGTAAATATTTTCATGTTGCTTTGAGTGTTTTTTTCAGTCATATTTGTCCAATAATATCGTTCAACTTGTTTTGGCATTTGACGTAATTTGGTTATTTGTTTATGGAAATTAATTTCCATATACGTGGCTGCAGTGGCTAAACAATTGTGTAGGACACAAAAATTATGTGACATTTATCTCTCTCATGGCCATCAGTGTTGTTTGGGTATGTTCTTTGTCAAGTGTTTGTTATTTAAAATTCATACTTGCCAAATTCTGATGATGCTTCTCTCTCTCTATGTATATATCTGTGGTTCAGCTTGTTATGGAAGCTGGGGTTGGTATCGCTGTTCTTGTTCGATGCTTTGTTAACAAGAAAGGCATGGAGACTGAGATTATTGATAGGCTTGGAAATGGTTTTTCTCGTGCCCCATTTGCAACAGTTGTGGTAAATACCGTACCAAATGCTGTGAAGCTGATGTCTGACACTGTCATTGTTGTTTTATCAGAAGTACTTAAGTTGGATTTTAAAATTTTTGTAGGCTGTATGTACTGCAGTTTCTATCCTCGCTTGTGTACCACTGGGTGAACTTTTCTTTTTCCACATGATACTGATCAGAAAGGTTAGTTGCCAAGAGATTTAGCATTATTGTCATTTTTCTGGTGCTTTACTTTCTGGATACATGTTGATAAATTTGAAGAGACTTGCAATTATAGTTAGGGTTCCAGTTGTTTTGAACTTTCCGACGTTTTGGTAACTGGATATAGTGGAAAATGTAAATAGAGTAGACTTATAGGGCAGGCAATAAGGCAATTTCTGTAGCAATCCTTTTAACTTTTATGTGGAATCAGGGTATAACAACCTATGAGTATGTTGTGGCAATGAGAGCAATGAGTGAGGCACCGGCTGGAGCATCAGTGGATGAGGAACTGCCAAATATGATGTATTCTCCAACTGGATCAGCTACAACTGGCTTGAGTGGTGGAAGTTCTCTGGGCCTTCAGTACAAGGGTGCATGGTGTACCCCTCCTAGAGTTTTCATAGATTATCAGGTACTGTCATTTAATATTTGCTTTATCATTTTGTTTGAATGAAACCGTAAGTGATCCAATCTAAGATTACAGAATATGCATCGAAAATAGATCCTTTACTGAAATTTGAAGGTTTTTAGACCTCGAGTATTTATCATTTGAGGGCTAGGTTGTTTGTCCCCGCCAAGTAGCATATAAGAATGTGTATGAAATTGTAGAAAGGAAGAACTATCAAATGAAGCCATCTCTCATTTACTGAGGTGGCTATTCTTTTAACGTTGAACTTTGTTAAAGATGCTTCCTAGAAGTAGAAAGAAAAATCTCCTATGCCAGAGTTCCTCTCTGCTTGTTTATAATTTTCTTTTAGATAAAACATTAATTCCTTTATGCTTCAATTACAAGATACTCTGTCCTACTCTTTAAGTATTTATTTCAACCTTTTGTAGAAGTTTACATTTTTTTTTGTCACAATAAAGTTTTGATCTCCCTTTCTGAAAGGAGCATAGCACATAAGAAAATTGTGACTTGGCTTCATATGGAGAATAGCGGCCAGCTTGAAGTGTCTTCTTTGTCAGCATATCTATCACTTCTAAACGCTCTTGCCTTTCTTGCTTTACTTTTGGGTTCTTTTTTTTTTTTTTATGATATAAATGTAGAGAAGAACAATTAGGACTAACTGGACCTAGATAAGCTCAAAATTGATATTTCCTCACTCCTTTTTTTAATTCATTTACTTCTTCCCTCCTGTCCCCCATTCCTACTCCCCTGGATTTATTTTCATGAATGTTTTATCCAACAGTTTTTTCTTTTGTGATCCTTAAATTGTTTGGGAACCCTAGTGAAACATTTGCTGGGATATCCTCCCTTGTTCCTTAAACACCTTGATCCGGATTATTATTCTACACATAATGGCAGTGGTGGAGTTTTTAAACTCCACAAGTGGGGTTAGATGGTTGCCATATCTCCATTTAATTATTAATTGATTAATGAATTATCATAGATATACCATAATGAGACATGTGTCAACCCTCTATCCCCACTTAGGGGATTTAAAAACTCCATCGTTGGTGTATAGGATGACTTTTAATCCTTTGAAATTTTTTTTAACCACTATAATCTCCTTAGGGGTGTCAAGAGTTCAGTTCCATATTTAATCTCCAATAGTATTTAGATGTAATCAAATTTTGAAATGAGGCTTATTTCGCATTGTGCCATTCGATATATCTATGAACTCAACCTTAATTTCTAATCATTCTTCCATACTACAAAATGTTCTTTAGCACTTAAATAGTTGCATAAATTTGTTCATTCATTTGACAAGTTTTCTATCACTTTTTATGATCATTAATTTGACCCTACCTTCTTGGAAGTGGATTATTCCAGAGTCTCTGGTTTGACTCCAGGAGTGGGTCAACTTTTGCATCTATGTCAATTTGTATGTTTGTTATATGACTGATGAGTTAAAACTTCTGTTGGATATGGCTGCATCAGGATGAAGTTGTGCCTCATTTGGAGCCTGGAATGGTCCCATCTACTGTTGATCCGGATGCAGCTGGTTTTGCAGAAAGAGGGAACAAGGGACCCAAAAGGGCTGTTCGTATTAGTGCGTGGAAGCTTGCAAAGTTGGATTCTAATGATGCCATGAGGGCAGCAGCAAGAGCAAGAGCATCTTCTTCTGTTCTACGGCCTGTTGACAACCGTCGTTTAGCAGATCCTGAACTTAGTTCCAGTGGCAACATGAGCATTAGAAGTAGCGTTAGCACAGATACAGGTGCAAATAAAGAGATAAAGAATGACCATAGATTATCTCCATTTGGAAACTCTTTTGCTCCAAGTCAAGGTAGCCGTGATGAGTATGAAACAGGAACTCAAAGTGTAAGTAGCTTCAGCAGTCCAAGCCACATTCATGAGTCAGTCACACTTAGCCCTCTGCCACAAAATCAAGGTTTGGGTCGTCTTAATACTGCTACCTCAGTTCCTGGCATTCCTGATCGTACCATAACATCTAAGGCAGCTTTTCCTGCAACCAACAATCCCATCACACATGCCTCATCAGGATCTGATGAAAAGATAATGCATAAGGGTGGAATTAGTGATCCATTGTTGCTTTCAGCTCCTGCTGCTTCTCTTCTTCGAGATGTCAAAAGGACATCTGTTGTCTGGGATCAAGAAGCTGGTAGGTATGTATCAGTTCCTGTCTCAGCAACAGAAGCTCGGAATAGATCATCCATGCAAATAGGCTTGCCAAATTCTAGTGGAGAAACTAGTATGCAGGGTAGAAGGGTGGTTTTCCCGCCACAGGAGTCTTCTTTGGCAGCAAAGGCTCCAGTGCAACAGGCAGAGAAGCTATTATATACAGGAGACTCAATTTTCTTTGGTGGCCCACTTTTGAGTGTTCCAGTTAGAGATAGTTTGAGGAATGATAAGGGTTTGGGTTCAAGGGAGGCTCAAGAAAGAGTAGCTCTAAACTTGCCTCGAGAGTCTAGATTCAAAAGGGATTCGGTCTCAAACCAACTTCCTGTGTTTGTCCCTGGGGGTTTCGAACACAACTCTGCATCGCATTCTGGTTTAAAGTAGCTTTCACATTGACTCCTAACAAAGTTTCTGTACAACTTTTCCTCAAATCATCAAGATTACTGGTGAAAGAGTAATGGAAATTGATGAAACCTCTCAGATGAGCTACTTGTGCATCGGAACCTTGCAATTTTGGGCTGTTGCAAACTAGATTACTTTGCATGGTTCAAGAGGTCTCTTCTCAAATGAATTATATGACTTGACACTTCGGCTTGTGGTGAAATTTGTAAAGTGAGGTGATGTCAAGAGGTGAGTCTCTCTCTCTCTCTCTCTGTGTTTAACCTGGGCTAGTTCTACATTGCAATTACATTTTATCTCTTTTAGAACCAAGCTTCATTGGTGGCTCATGAATAATTTATTTGTCAAACTTCAATTTACTTTTTGTTTATGTTGCTTTCAGGGATTTGATAATTTGTATACTAAATTGAGCACCTTGATTTAGGGTAATACAATTTGATTCTGAGTATGCTACGCCCAATATGATTAATTACTGAAATCTAATTTGGTCCAACAACTCCTTCCTCTGGACAGCCCTTTACATGTGCAGGAAAGGAAAGGAAGTCCCAGTAATTGATTCTTGTTCTTGGTTAAAAGAATCAAAACGTAGATTAGATTGAGATGATAGTCATTGAACTCAAATGCTTTAGTTTCAGATGTGTTGCTGCATAATTGGAAGGAGTCAATGAATAATGGGAGGGTTTTCGCTTTGATCTAAAACTCATTATTTCTATGTAAATAAATAGTAATTCTTTATTGGCTTTGTTTGATGGAAAGTTGCAAGAGTATGACAAGTGAACAACTGTTTGTAACCCCTCATTATGTCAACTCATCTCCAGGCAGATTATCCATTTTGGGTTGTTAGCTTTTACCCAATAAGATCATCCTTTGAAATCGTTGAATCTCAACATGCTTTAACCCCAAAAGTAGATCAAGGCACTCAAACTAAGCTGATAACAGAAATTTTTTTTTTAAAGCATTTTCTCCGAAATTTACCAAAAATTAGGAAAAAAAATACAAATTATAAAATCAAAAGAAGAATCGGAAAAAAAAATAAGGAAAATGAACGAAAAATAAGAATCCTAATATCAGTTTGAATCTAATTCCAGAAACCCAATTTAAATCAAACTCTAAAATCGAAGAAGAAGAATTTGAAAAAAAGACAAACACAAGACATCCACAATCACAAGAACAAAACCCCACACAATCCAGGAGCAAAGAAAGTCCAGAGAGAAATCGGTGTGGGTGCAAAGAAAAGAGTTTCTTTGGCTCTTTAGATTTTGGAAAATCTTGGTTCATTTTGAAGCAAACGGTTCGTAAAGATCGGATTGTAGCTTGGGCTGTGTTTCGGGTTTCATTTTAAGTTTAATAAGGTAAGTTTTTTCTTTATTGTTTTGTTCCTTTTAGTTATTTTGATTTTTCTTTCTTCTAGTTTTTTATTTTATTTATTTATTTTTCTTTTGTATACATGTTAAATTTTTTAAAAATCATAGAAATTGGATAGAATAGAATAGGTTTTAATCATAAAAAAAATTTAATTAATTAAAATCCATAATTGTTTAAAGATAAATCTTTTAAATGAAATTTTAAAAAAAATTGTTACTGAGTAGCACGGTTTGCAGAGTAAAAATAATTATGGACTGCACATAATTTTATAAAAAGATTTGTTTTTAACTAATTATTATAATCGTGAAACAATAATAATTTAAAATATTGATAAATTAAGAATAGAGTTTCTATTTTCATATGTTTATGTCCTATTTATTTAATTTTAAATAAAAAAATAAAAAAAATTATACGACGATGAAATTCGTTAACTTTGAGAGAATTTTAAGAAAATATAAAGTAAAATAACAAAAACAATCAAATAAACTTAAAAAATTAGGTGAATAATTTAAAATTAAAAAAAAAAGAATTGAATTTGAATAACACATTAGTATCCTTATGGCATCATGCATATGAATTACAATTCTTTCACTAGATGTCTTACAGGTTTTCCAGAAGCAATCACCAAGATTTTTATATGGAGTTGATGATTCAAAGAAATGTTACTTTATTATGCATATTTACTAATAAAATTTGTGGGCATAGATTCCATTGCCTTGATCAGCTTCAGCTCAGAGAACACAAGATATTTTGATGGGGTCTGACCAAAAGGTACGATCGTATCCAACCAAAGGTAGAAAAGGATTTAGGTTTTGCACATGATGTCAACGTCTTTCATTTATTGGGGGCAGTGGGCAGTGGGCAGTCAGTCTCTAGTCACTACGACTTTCTCACTATGATTGGGACACCATTTTGCATTGCATTTGCCACTTCTTTTGCTTGTTAAATCATTACGTTGCTTCTGCACCCTGTGGCTCCAGATTTTCTTTGCCTGCTCGTCTGGTACGACTTCGTTTTCTCTCGTCTTTCCTTGCTATATCCATCCACAGTCTGGCACTGGTGCCGATCTGTTTTTGGACTTAGGAAATAAATAGAAAAGATTTTTATGTTTACATTTTGCAAGGAATAGTAATGACGAAAGAGAAACACGTCAATGGTGGACTTTGTAACTCACAGTTGACAAAATTGAGGCGGCTCCAAAACTTTCGCCTTTTGCTTCTCTTCTTTCTATTTCTTTATTAAATTTCTATAACAAAACAATTCCAATTTGAAAACTCTCTCTTATGGATAAGATCTGAATTAGTGCCACATTTTTACTAATTTTAATTTATTATATTTTATTGTCAATATAATAATTTTATTATTAGCATTATGAAGGCGTGATCATTTTAATTCCATTCATATGTTAACAAATGAAAAATCCTTAAGGATTTAAATATTATGTTAATAGAATTCAAACCGTGATCATGGAGATTGAGAGTTTGAATTCGAATCTCTGATTAGAATATATTCTTACGTCTAACAACGAGTCAATTAGTATTTAATAGAATTTATTGTCTTCCTCACTAGAATGGGAACAGTTACGATTTTCGAAAAAGGTTTAATTGTCTTTGTAATTTACCGCTATGAGGAGATTCTATTCAAAAAAAGCATTGATAGCAAAGAATTGAGTTTTAATTTTCTTTTCGAAATAGAAAAAAAAAAGGTTTTTTGCAAAGAAGTATTTAAAAATTAAATAATTGGGGTAATAATTAAGGAGAGAGAACAGTAGGAATCTTATCTTAATTTGACAGGTTGGCCCAGTTCTTTACACAGTAGACTGCTCCATGTAAAATCCAATCAACCATAAATAAATAGCGAATGAGGCTATCAGCGCCTTTCATTGTCTTCTTCTTGCAGCACTGTCTCCTTTCGACTTTGCTTCTTTGCATGTTGTTTTCTTAGATAAAAGCAAAAATGGTGCCTAACAGTTTCCTTCGATCAACTTTCAAACTCCAGGTTCCAAATTCTTCAATACCCTTGCTTCACTCTTTCTTTAAAATTGTCTCTTTTATATTGTGGTGTACTGTTTGATCAGCCTTTTGGCCTAAAAAACCAGTCTTGATGTTTTTTTCTTACATCTTTGGATCATGATCAGGGAACCCATTTTTCTCTTCTTCTGATTCAACCAATATTTCATTCTTTTTAGATTCCCAGATGTAAAGTCTTTGGTTTTGTTGCTGAGAAATATTGATAGAAGAACAAGTTTTGATTACTTTTTTTCTGTCTTATCTTATGTAGCTGTCATGGTTTGTCTGCTTTCTTGGAGCTTTAGAATTTTCAATGTTTCCGCCTTTATGAATCAGTTGATGTTGGAATATCGTTATTGATAGCATCTTTTGAATTCTTTAGAATTAAAAATTACAACCTTTTTCTTTGGATCCACTTTTGTGATCAGTTTTGTTTGTTCGCTTTTAGCATCAGTTGGTCTGCTAAAGGAAATATGATCAGATATAATAAAGAAATCAAGAAATAGAATCCTCTTTGTTGAGTAGTGTGCTGCTCTACTGAACTCGCTATCTCTTTTTTTTTCCAAGATTTTTACTCCACCTGTAATTTTAGGTTCTGTTTGCCTTCTGAGAAAATACTGACGTACATCAGTGTTATTTCTGGTTAACATAGTCATTCCATACTCTGGTTCCATGATTTTGGATCAGTTATTACCGTCATGTCTCGTCCTTGTGAATTCATTGGAATGTTGACTTTGTTTAATCAATACACTCTTCCGTTGCATTCATTTTCTTCAGTTTGTTGCAGTGTTGGGGCTTTAGTGAGTGAAAGATGGAAACCAAAATATAAATTTTATTTTCCGTTTTTTAGGATTTCTAGATTAAACTAATAAATCACTTTATTAATTGTAATTAACTTATTTTGCGCATTGCAATTGATTTTTTCTTAGTTTTAGCAGTATCCATGAAGAATGTAAGCCTGAAGGACTTATTTCTCCTAAGAGCTTGCTTTTCCTAGGCAACCAAATTAGGGATAACTGAACCTTGAAGTTATACCGTAAAATAATCTATTTTAGTGAAAATTGGATGAATTTATCAGTATCCTTCAAAACAAAAAAAAAAACTGAGACTTTCACCTTTCTGCTCTCTCCAGTTGCTATAAATTTATTCTATTATCAATTACAGAATATATGCTTTGAGAATCTATTTTGTTATTTGCCAACTTATTACATGTCTATTTGTTGACAAGGAAATTGTTTCTCTAGAAAAAATGTGAATCGCCTCCCCTTCCCCTGAATGCCCACATATGCAAAAATTCAGCAAAGAATAGAAAACAATTTGTAATAGGATTTCTGATGAGTTGGATATTTTTGAAATTTGTCATTTGGTTACTGATATCTATACTAGGAAAAGATAAAAATTCATTATTAAACTTTGGGGAGACGAGAATTTGAAATTGGGATATCAAATTTAGATGTAAGGTGTGGCTACCATCATTTGGATGTTTTTGAAATTTGTCATTTGGTTACTGATATCTATGCTAGGAAAAGATAAAAATTCATTATTAAACTTTGGGGAGACCAGAATTCGAAATTGGGATATCAAATTTAGATGTAAGGTGTGGCTACCATTATTGAAAGAATCAGGAACAGTAACAGAATGAGGTTTAGATCTACTTTTGGTCATGTAAAATTTAAACATATACAAAACTTAGTGGAACAACTTCTACTAGATTTTTCTTTTTCCTTTTGTTTTTTGTATTGTAGGCTATTATTGATTTTTCAGCCATCATATGCTTTCTCCCTTCCTATTTACAGCTTGGTTCATATATAAAAAATGCTGCTGCATACAGAAGTTTCACGGACCAATCACCTAACGGTCCATTACTGGCCAGAGTATATAGTACAGAGCCATCTTTGCAGAAGGAAGATTCAGATTTGAGGGATAGTAATGGGTATGTGCATTTTATGTGTCAGTATTTAAACCTTTGTCCATGTTTGTCTCTGTCCACATATGTTTGTCCCTTGTTAGTGCTGTTGTGTCAGATTGTGGA